GGAAACGTGTGGGTGGGTGGGTGTTGAGTGAGCAGCAGACTGCCCAGGCCGCACGAGTTAGCCCCGTCCACTCCGATGATCAAAGTTAGCCTTGCGGTGGACCTTGTGCCGGCGGCGCCGACCGCGCAGAGTGCGACACATGTCTCACCAGAAACCTCCCCCCGGCCCCGGATGTGTCCCGCGGCTCGCCGCACTTACTCACAAAGTGACGAATTAGGTTTCGGGTGGCCGAAGGACGTGGAGCGACAAAGAGAAAGAGAGGAGAGAGGGGGGGGGGGATAGGCTATGAAGGCAGAGAGAAATGCATACACAGAGAATGACCTAGATGTGACGCGCCCAAGCGGGCTAAGGTTAGGTTCGCCCTCGGGCTCGGGTGCTGCTGACCGCTTGCAGTCGCGCCAGGGGAGCGAGGGCTGGGCGCGCGGCGAATAGGCGCGCCCCGGCTGCAGTGCACCGCTGGGCACGTGCTACGGATCCATTGTAACCACAGTGCCCCCCCCCCTCCCCCTCACGCACCTGCTCTCCCATCCCGAGCGCGCTCTCCCTCTCTCTCTCTCTCTCGCTCTCTCTCCCTCTCTGTGTCTATCTACAGCGCGCGCACTCCTCAGTGGTTCACGCGGCTCATACGCTGCCGTCAAGGGCGCCCCTGATATTGATTCCGCTTGCCGTTGGCACCGACACACCGTCACTCGGTTACTGCCTGCTGCTGCTGCTGGCAAAGAGTGAACGCAGCAGCGTCTGAGAGACAAGGCACATGAGGATGGAGCCAGCCATGCTCACTTTTTTCGCGTCAGTCTTTCCCCGCAATTTTCTGACAACACATTGCGTTAGCGTCGTATCACGTGGCTACTACTAACTATAAAATCATAACGACACGAAGTTTAAGAAACGCCCACTGGTAAAACAAGTGTCCATAATTTAAACACCACCGTATCTTAGTTAGGATTTTATACGTTACATGGTGTTTAACTCAAGTTGCACACTTGCGTAGAGAGCACATTTTAAACTAATTATAAACGTTTAAATTCTGCACACTTGGACACACACAAATCTATAGGAACCATGTGGTGTGCAGCTGCTATACTTTTCGGAAGTGTCGAAAGTTTAAATGCCAATTGACGTGCAACATTAAACACTTGTTTTACCAGTGCCGCGATAGCGTTCTCTACGGCCGGCTCTCTTTCTGTGAGCGAGCGCGAGTGCGTGAGGGGCGACCGACCTTCGCATCGATTTCGGGGGTGGAAAAAGAGACAGCGTCTGCTGAATCATCAGCAAACAATCAGTCAGGGTGGCGTACTGGAAAATCGCTGGCCCGCCCTTTGCATGGGGATGGGAGAGAGCAGCGCTGTATAGGGGGAGCCGCTGGGAGCCACTGGGGAGCCAATGGGGGCCCTTCGGTCCAGCTGTATAGCGAGCGAGTTGGTGGGAGTGGGCCGCACTTGAGAGCGAGCCGCGGAGGCGGGCCTCAGGCGAGGGCGCTGCACCGCCGGAGGCATATTGTCCTGTCCCGAATTGGATTGAAAAGGGTGACTCTCGATTTGCACGTTGTTTGGACTGAATAAACGGGATGGAACGGTCGCTCTAGCACCGCAGGGTGGGTGCAGCCGCAGGCCCCGGTCCCCGCGGGCGGGTGCTCTCCGAGACTCAAACCAACCGCGCGCACTGGAAAAAGGGTCCCAACAAGGTCCCGACCTCTTTTATCATCTTTTTTACAGCCAACGCGCGTGTCAACTCCAGACACACACATATATCTCCTCATGACGAAATTACTCCCAGAAAGCGACATGACATGGCATGCATGGGCGCGCGGGCCCGCTCCAGCACAGCGCCGCGGAGGACGGAGGAGGCCGTGTCGCACGCTAGTGCTTCAACCACTGACCGTCACCCAGCACCAGCGCCAGTCCAAGCACCAGTCCAAGTACGAATTCCATTCCAAAAACCAGTCCAAGCACCAGCACTAGCGTCAACACTAGCGTCATCACTAGCGTTAGCACTAGCGTCAGCACTAGCGTCAGAACTAGCGTCAGCACCAGAACAGCATCAGCATCAGGAACAGCACCCAGAAAAAAGCACCCTAAAAGTGACTGCTTGGTTTCCCAGCAAAAGTGGTACGTACTTTCCAAGCAAGAGGTGCTTGGAAATTACCTCACTTTTGCTTGGAAGCCAAGCAGTCACTCTTTGCGCGCAGCACCACAGCACTAGCACCAGTACCAGCACCAGCACAGACGTAGGAGGGGGTCGTGTCGTCGTATATGAGCGCTTGAACCAGTTGCCGCCCCTAGCACCAACACAACCAGCCCCCCACGGGCAATCTAGGGGTCGACGAAAGGTCGAGACAACGCGGGGTCGCCCTGGCGAACCTGACGATGCAAAACGGTTTCGGTGCTGGTAGAGTTAACATTTTCGTGTTTGATGTCGTCCTCTCTTTTCACTTGATACTTTGCCAGTCATATAGCGGCCCGGTATTTCATGCGCTGGGGAATAACAGCCCGGCTCTAAATAATATCCACGCAGACGCAGAGCCGGGGCGAGTCCATCCATGTCAGAGTACAACGTGGCTGACAGGCAAGTGCGGTTTGGCCTCTTTCTAAAGTATGCAGATAATTATCGAGAAATGTGGAGGAATGCGTGGCGCGCGGTTTGCCAAAAGTTTTGGACGCGCCTGAGGAAACGGGTTTAACTGCTTACGCCCAGGCCAAGACAAAGCCCCTCCTTACAATAGGGCACAATAAATAGCTAGGTACTAGAACATTGCAATGACGCAATTACCAGTATATTTTTACAGTTCGAATGAACAGGGGTACGAGTGCCCATGTTAGTAACACAATTTTAATTATAAACGTCTCGTTTTATTTATTTGCTACTGTCATTTTCTTGAGCTGGAAAATAAATGGAAATAAAAAAAGAACTGTAGGTGAGGTGGCGTGGGTGGCGTACTCGACCGGTATCGTTGTTCAAAGTCGGCGGATTCCCTCTGGCACAATACGTGCAGTTGGCGTGGGGTTGAGTCGAGTCGAGGGGGAATGTGGAATGTATCTGCTCGCAGCAGAGGGATGGGGGATGGGGGGATGG